TATTTACCCTATTTACATGGCTTGAATTGTTGTCCTCATCGTTGTTGAAATATTCACGACGTTTCGGCCGTTGTATGCTTCGGGATCTGTCTATAGTTCTGAGATGATGTATTGCTATTATTTAAAGTATTTACATTGTTCGGTCTGTTCCCTAATCTTTGTTGCCATATTCACGACGTTTCGGCCGTTGTACGCTCCGGCCTTTTTCAAGACTTGTCTATATTTCTGAGATGAGATATTTAATTATTTACACTATTTACATTGTTCAGACTGTTAACCTCATTTTTGTTGCCATATACATCACGTTTCGACCGTTTTACGCTCCTGTCTTCTTCAGGTGACTGTAATTTCGAACCGAATCCTTTATTTCGTCTATCAGGGGTAGATTGTTCTAGTTCCATATGACATGCCTCTTCCGGATATTTCAGTATCAGTTATCTCCCTTTAACTCAATTCGCCAAATTTTTGTTCATCTCTGCTCTTGATTCTAGTGACTTAACCCAAAGAGTTGTGCGTTCAATACCTGGCTACAGCGTCTCGAATTTTTTTTTTCTTTTAATATTTCATTCATTCGAAATGTTTGGTACAATTTATAAAACTGAATATAACAGATGAAAGACAAAAGAAATTCGGAACGTAAGCGACCAGGAAGGATTTTAATTTTAGCAATGACGTGCAGAGGTTTGATGATGCCCGAGGCCATCTCCTTGGTTGTATGTTCCTAAGATTCAAGTGGTCCGACTCCAGTCTTGCTTTTCAAAACACGGATCCACATTCACACTATCTTGTGGGACTGTAGGGTGCTTGTGTATCGAAGTTAACAGAGACAATTACAAATTTTAAAAAATTAAATTTTTATTTCACTCTTTGATTCGATGCCCGGGGCCGTCGCACCCTCTCCCCCACCCCTTATGTACGCTACTGAATTTTGGCCAATTTATTTTTGTTAAATATTTCAAATAAGTGCAGCAGATGAACGATAAAGGCAAACCGAGAAGAATGCGGTCAGGAATCGAAGTTCTATTTTAGATCATTTATTTACGCCAAATAAGCGAACATAACCGAATCGTGGTCACCTGCAGTTCACTGCTGGTCATCTATTACCATTGTTAGTATGTTCGAACGCAACTAGTATAATAGTATCGATACCTTCCTTAGAGATCCTCAGCTGGTCACTCGCAGACTATTTTTACTACAAGAATTATGGACATCTTCATTGTTAATACATTCATGCATGAATAGAATTCTTCAATAAACACCTGTTCTAGACTGAGGATCAGCTGGTTACTCTCGCAGACTATTGGTAGTAAGTCCCAACACTATAAGAATTATATCATAGACACATGCATGAGGTTGGTGGTCAGCGGTTAGTTATGCAGGACATTGCAAAAGTTCGATTTTTGGATATTTAAATAGTATATACAGGGATGGAGCAAGGTTCATCTTGTGCGCTTAAATCTATGATACAAAAAAAAATCTATAATACCCTCAAAATCTTTGATAAGAGAGAATCTATTTAACCGCCCGAATCTATGATAATTAAAAAGTCTATGATACGCCCCCGAATCTATGATACCCCTTATATGATAAAATTTTAATCTATGATAATGCCTAAATCTATGATTCCGCCCGAATCTATGATTCCGCCCGAATCTATGATACCCTAGAATCTATGATACCCTAGAATCTGATACCTCCGAATATATAATAGCGTCGAATCTATGATACCGCCCGAATCTATGATATCCCCCGAATCTATGTTACCGCTGGAATCTATGACTCCGTCCGAATCTATGATAGCCCTCGAATTTATGATACGCCCCCGAATCTATGATTTTTCCCGAAATCTATGATGCCCCGAATCTATGATGACTCCCCCAAAATCTATGATATTAAAGAATCTATGACTCCGCCCAAATTTATGATAGCCCTCGAATCTATGATACGATACTTTTTAATCTATGATACCCCGAATCTAAATTTTTCCTGAATCTATGATACCCCCTTTTCCTCTATGACTCCGCCTGAATCTATGATAGCCCTCGAATCTATGATACGCCCCCGAATCTATGATACCCCCGAATCTATAATAGCCCCGAATCTATGATACCACCCGAATCTATGATTCCGCCCGAATCTATGATTCCGTCCGAATCTATGATACCCTAGAATCTATGATACTCTAGAATCTGATACCTCGGAATCTATAATAGCGCCGAATCTATGATACCGCCCGAATCTATGATACCGCCCGAATCTATGATATCGCCAGAATCTATTATATCCCCCGAATCTATGATACCCCTGGAATCTATAATACCCCCAACCGAATCTATGATACCCCCCTTCTATTTTTTGATAGAATCTATGACTTTATATTGAATCTCTATTAGCCCTCAATCTATGATACGCCCCCAATTTATGATACCCCAGAATCTATGATACCCCAGAATCTATAATAGCCCCGAATCTATGATACAAGTCGAATCTATGATTCTTTCTGAGTCTATGATTCTGTCCGAATCTATGATACCCTATAATCTATGATACTCTAGAATCTGATACCTCGGAATCTATAATAGCGCCGAATTATGATACCGCCCGAATCATGATACCGCCTGAATCTATGATATCCAATCTATGATATCCCCGAATCTATGGATGTGGAATCTATAATACCCCCAACCGAATCTATGATACCCCCGAATCTATGATACCACCAGAATCTATTCATATCAAAATGAATCTAAAAAATATCTCAAATCTTCTTACGCCCTTTTATGATAATTGAATATATGATACCCCAGAATCTATAATAGCCCGAATCTTTTTTTTAGGTCCAGATCTATGATTCCGAGTTTCTCTATGATTCCGCCCGAATCTATTTTCCGCCTTTCAAGGGATACCCTTTAATCTATGAACCCTAGAATCTGATACCTCGAAATCTATAATAGCGCCGAATCTATGATACCGCCCGAATCTATGATATCGCTCGAATTTATGATATCCCCCGAATCTATGATACCCCTGGAATCTATAATAATTTTTTAAATCTATAATACCCCCAATCAGCCTTTTATGGTCTTCATAGTTGATATTATTGATAATAACATAATAATAATTAAGTTAAAAATTTAAAAAGCATACATAATAATGGCTAATAGAATAACTGAAAGTGCTCGAATATATGGAACATTTAGACAAATATTTACCCACTCTATACCCAGAAAAGAAAATTATACGAACACAAGAAAAATTAAATAAAAATCGTATATACTCTATTACATCTCAATTTTCATAAGGTCGTATTCATATGAAATACTAATCTTATTGTAACCTAATTATGTACAATAATGGATCATATGCAATATAGATGAACAATTCAACAAGAAAATTGAAAATAAATCCAATGTATTTAAATACAAATTAGAGACATGTCATAATAGATTATTCCATCTTAAATAAATCAACAATGTTTTGCGGCAACTAACAATTTTAACATCAAATTGAGATTTTTCTCGTTAAAAAGTTGAATAATTTTAACACATTCAACATTATGGATAAAAAATAGTGTATTTTATATAAGGTTTTTTTTTTCCGAGACTTCACATGAGCAAAACAAATTCACGGATTTAAACAATAAAAAGACGACCCAAGAATGACATCAAAATCCGCGAAAATGTTTCACCTTTTAATAGTAATTTCTTTTTTTTTTTTTTTTTTTTAAGCATTTCACCCCAAGCAAGGCGGGAAGCCACTAGGACGTAAGGGGTTACAGAAGATTTGGAGCAAGATCAGATAGGAGTGATAGAGGAAAGGATGAGGAGAAGGATAGTGGATAGATCAAGGCAACTGGAGATGTCGATTGACATTACACTTGAATAGCTGGAGATTATAGCTCTCAGAGGAACTGGAATAGGGAAGGGAGTTCCACAGGCGGGAGGTGCGAGACATGAAGCTGTGTTTAGTTTAATTTGTAATGTATATAAACGGAGGTAGAAAAAAGCAAATGTTGATAAAATAGCAAGGGTCACAAAGCGCTGCCCGGGGCCCCCAATCAGCCACCCTCCCAATCGGGGGTTCGAGGGTAGTATGCACCGGCCCTGCTAGTGTGAATAAAATTCTTCAATGAACACCTATAGTAGATTGAGAATCAATTGGTTAGTCTTGCAGATTATTGTTGGTAAGTCCGAACACTAAGAATTTTATTATAGACACATGGTGATGGCCAGCTAGATAGTTTTTTTTTTTTTTTTTGCTTTTGAAGACTATTGCAAAAGTTTGATTATTGTATATTTAAATGACATATATTCCAACCAGTTAATAAAAATTGCTTTATTTGTTCTTTGATAAAACAAAAACAAAAAGAAACAACAACAAAAATCGCCTTTTAAATCATCTAAGACGGAAAGATAGTGTTTTTTATTTGCAACTATGCTTTCTTTCTACAGCAAAAATTCCAACATCAACAAGCCAGATAAAGGGAAGTAAACACGACAGCTTATCGCATGTCAACCAGGATAACATAAAGTCGTTTTAGCTTATTATTTGTTACTGATACAGTCTTAACGATCGGGCATTTTTTTCTCCAGACTTCCCAGCCTGCATATCTATCTACAATGATCCTGTACACAAATGATATTTGGAAGTAAAGGAGCTTAACGTTATTGACATCTTTATATCCCAGTGGGGTGTGAGCAAAAAAAAAAAGAGAGAAAGAAAAACGTTACATTAAATGTCCACTTTTTGTCGAGTGTATATGGTTTGTTGATGTGTGTAATGCTGTGATATGGGCGACGAAGTCCCGTCTCAGACAATGCACTTTAAAAATCCATCCTTAATGTCGTATGCATGCAAATATATAAGTTCCAAACTCTTCGAGTGCTTTGGATGCGAAGGAATGCTCAGTTTCAGAAACTCTAGACAAGATTCTTTTTTAAATTCTTCGTTTTCTCTTGATTGAAGAATATCAGTCGTCAGTCTTTTATAACTTGTTTTAGATTTTATCTATCTATCTATCTATCTATCTATCTATCTATCTGTCTGTCTTCTTCGTATCATCTATCTTCATATATTCTATCAATTTGTCGTCATATATTATATCTATCTATCTATCTATCTATCTATCTATCTATCTATCTATCTATCATCAATCTTCATATATTCTATTTATATATCTGTCGTCATATATCTATCTTGATATCATTTATCTATCTATCGATCTGTCGTCATATATCTATCTATCTCATCTATCTATCTATCTATATATCTATATATATATATATATATATATATATATATATATATACAGAGACTTTTATATATATATATATATATATATATATATATTTTTATACATACATACAGAGACTTTTCTTAGTTTGATATTAAGAAATTTCAAATTTTATGATTTCATATTGTGTCATATTATTTGTCATAATTTATTTAAGTTAGATCATATTAAGTTAATTTTGCATATGATAAAGTAATATTTAAGTAAGTGAATATTAAAGAAATTTGCATATAGTATTTAAGTATTGTCTTAAGGAAATTTAAATATAACATGATTTAATTCATGTCATATTAAGAAAATTTGCGTATGTCATATTATGTAAATGTCAATTTTGCAGATGTCATATTATTTAATATCATATTAACTTAATTTTGCAGATGTCATATTATTTAATATCATATTAACTTAATTTTGCAGATGTCATATTATTTAATATCATATTAACTTAATTTTGCAGATGTCATATTATTTAATATCATATTAACTTAATTTTGCAGATGTCATATTATTTAATATCATATTAACTTAATTTTGCAGATGTCATATTATTTAATATCATATTAACTTAATTTTGCAGATGTCATATTATTTAATATCATATTAACTTAATTTTGCAGATGTCATATTATTTAAGTAATGTCATATTGATAAAATTTGCATGAATCATACTATTTAAGTCGTGCAATATTAAGGATATTTGCATATATCATATTGTTTAAATAATGTCATATTAAGGAAAATTTTGTATGTATTAAGTAATACCATATTAAAAAAATTGCATATGCCATTTTATTGAAGTAATGTTATATTAACTTAATTTTGTATATATCATATTATTTAAGTAATGTCATATTAAGTAAATTTGCTTATGTCATAATAAGTAAAGTCATATTAGAGAAAGCTGCATCTGTCAATTTATTTAAGTAATGTTATATTAAGCAAATTTGCATGTATCATATTATTTATAATCATTTTTATGTTATAATATTACTAATATATTATTTAAGTAAATTTTCAATAGCTTTGTACTTATATAATATAAACTTTATGTTTCTCTGCAATTTCTAGATTATGAGCAAATATTTTTAGTATTATACTACCCAATTTACTAAGGCGAACATGTATAGAATGTGCACTAATTTCCGTGTCTTCCACGGTAAATTTGTGTCCCTGTAACATAACATATTTCTTAAGATTTCCTAACAAACCGACTGCAATTACAATATGAGATATCCAGAATCAACACTGATAATTCAAAAACAAAAGCATTGATAAGATGAATGAAATCGGCTAAGCTGTATGCCTAGACAGATCAGACGTCAGGAATATAAAATTGAAAGTTTAGCTCCCTTACACGCTCAGCGTCCCCTTTTAATAGATAATTATAACCGACATGGGCACTTCGAGGTGGTGTAATTGTTAGCAAGCATGTCTCGCTAGATCAATTACGACTGATTAGTGAGTTCGATCATCACTGGGTGCCCCACATCTAATCTATACTTAGAAAATCATTGGGTACCTCGACGTGGTTAGCAAGCTTGTCTCGCTAGATCAATTACGACTGAGTAGTGAGTTCGATCCTGACTGGGTGCCCCAGACTTTCGGCTTTGGGTCACGTCCAAACTACGTTTCGAAAATCGTTGGAAGGCACTTCGATGTGGTGTAATGGTTAATAAGCTAGATCAATTACAACTGCGTAGTGACTGCGATCCTCACTGGGTGCCCCACACATTCGGCCTTGTGCCACATCTAAACTACGCTTAGAATATCATTGTAGGGAACGCCGACGTGGTGTAATGGTTAACAAGCTTGTCTTGCTAACTCCGTTACGACTGAATAATGATTTCGATGCTCACTGGGTGCCCACACTTTCAGCCTTGTATCACATCTAAGCTACGCTTAGTAAATCATTGTAGGCGTCCCACACTTCCGATAATAAAAGACAAAAGAATAAAGACGCAAGTTTAGTAAAAGAGAATGAGAATACTTTAGTGAGAAAAAGCGACAATAAAAGAACAAAATTCGGGAAGAGAGAAGATGGCAATTGACGTTGTATTTAAATTTTTGACGTAAGTGGAAGGGAAGCGAGAAGCCAGAAGAGAGTTCCACAAGCGAGAAGTACGAGAGAAGAAACTATTAGAATAGAATTTACGGTTGCAACTTGCAATTTCATCAATAACTCGGTGGGACCTAGTTGCCAATCTAGTAATCTGCTTAAATTCATGCAGTCGAGGTACCAAGGAGGAAAGACCATTAGAACAATTGCAATGAAAATATTTATAGAAAAGACAGAGGTGGGGGGCACGACACGGTGGTTGGAATGTGCCTAAAGTCGAGATACCAGATAAGGACCGATAACATTACAGACCGTTCTTTGGTTTTTGTCTAGAATCTTAAGATACATTGCAGGGACACCAGACCAAATATGGCAACAATATTCAATGCACGGCGAATGGTAGATTTATAAACGTGCAGGATGGATTCTGCCGTGAAGAATTGTCTGGCAGTGGACCAACTTTCTTAGCATAAAAACTTATTCAATATAATCGTTCCACTTCATCTCAGTGGAAAGCGTGAGACCAAGAAGGCGCAAAAAAGATACTTTCCTGGGGGTTAGCATCAGCCATGTGATAGAAAGAAAAAAAATGGCGCTCTATGATGACTATCTACCAGTTTCGTTTTTGAGGCGTTAAAATGTACAAGGCATTTCTTGTCCCAATTAACAACTGATTGAGAGAAAAAAATTAAAATATCTTTTTTGAAGTTAAATTTGGCTGTATCTGTACGATAATAACTTAAAACTAACTCGAAAATATAGCATAAAATATTTATTTTAGGAATTTCAATAAGGTTTTAAGGCATTTTTAAAATATAGCACACACATCGACTCGGGGTATTTCAACGTAGTGTAATGGTTAGCAAAGTTGTCTCGCTAGATTAATTAAGACTGAGTAGTGAATTCGATTTACATTTGGCGCTCCATATTTTCGACCTTGTGCCAGATCTAAGCTACGGTTAGTAAAATGTCATCACTCATCGACTTATCGACCCGTCATTATGGAAACTTTTAGTAGGGACAAATGAGCATTTTATTTATTACTATTAATTCTTTATATCGAGAAATAGTACAAATACTTAAAAATGTCATCTTCGAGAAATACCATGATCGATGAATATATAAATGTTGATATCCCTTGACGAGTGGACAGAGTGATTACCGGAGTCTGCGTCTACATAACTCTAGAGTCGGAATGCTGAAGATTACAATCAATCAGCTAAACAAGCAAACCTTTTACTTGAATTAATTCTCTTCTCTTGTTCTCTCTCTCTCTCTCTATATATATATATATATATATATATATATATATATATATATATATATATATATATATAGAGAGAGAGAGAGAGAGAGAAAATGTTGTATCGTAACGGTCCGGGTTCGATTCTCATTAGTGGATGCACCTTGCTGAAGAGTTCCAAAATAGGATGAAACAGCCGTCCAGTGCTTTCTGCATTGTGTTGAGGTTTCTTCTGGACTCGATAAATTACTATATTGATTATTCTAATACCCAAAATATATGTCTTTATATATATATATATATATATATATATATATATATATATATATATATATATATATATATATTTGTTTGAGTTTGTCTGACGATCGCTAAAGCGTGAAACCCAGGGTCACAAACTCACATCTATCCAACCAAATATGTTAGCTCTATCTCTGATATTGAGCGCTTTCTAATAAGTACCAAAAATAATATATAAATAATTATACATATATATATTTATTTATATTTGTATACACTTTCACACACACACACACACACATATATATATATATATATATATATATATATATATATATATATTGAACAAAACATGATACCGCAGAACATAAATATAGTTTTAAAAATTTTAAAAGCACTTTTATTTATTTTCCTTAAGGAATCCTTTTATTACAACACTTTGAAATAAGAGAAAATGTCGGCTGACAAAGTGTTTGATTGAAAAGATTCCTTGACGGAAATAAATAAAAAATGTCTTTTGTATTTTTAAAAAAGCATTTATTCCGTTATATATATATATATATATATATATATATATATATATATATATATATATATATATATATATATACTTCAATTACGTCCTGTCGAATTCCGTATGAGGGTCAAGCAAATCAATTCCTATGAACCGACAGCCCGACACCCCAGTACATGAGATTTGATTATAGCGGTGAAGGTTTTGTGCAGAAACTTCCACACTTTTTGTAGAACCGAATACAGAGACCTGGTGCAATACGTGCCACAAGGCCCCCGAACGAAGCTCCGCAGGTTTTGAATTCGAAGTTGTCCTTCTCCTAGACCAGTTGCCATCCAAGGCTACAGAATCCAGTCTTTCCTGCTATTTACCCATAACTTGGGTGGGAAGAAGAGGATTCATATCTTTCCCAAGGGTATTAGCACGTAAGTGAATGTAATGGATTCCTCAATCCAAGCCGCTATCCATTACTCTCACTGATTGCACATCCGGCACTTGTCTATTGACTCGTGCATAAAACGCAGTTGTGCTCACGCCGAGGAAGAAAATAAATGTATATTTATTATTAATATAAATTTTAGATCCGTTATTGCACATGGACCACCGTTATTTTTCTGACAGTCAAAAATTTAAAAATCTCCTGAAAATACAATATTTGTCTTAGAGATTTGTTTCAAAGTAAATTAGTAAATTTAAGTATTAATTAATTAAATAACTTGATCTTGCAAAATAATACTTACATCTCGCTTAAAGCATAATGAAAATAAAATTTATTTACCATGGTAGCCTATGAGATGTCGTCAAGGTCGGTCGAAGCTCAACAATAGTAATTTTCTACTGTCACCCAACGAAAAAACGAATAAAACTGCATTAATTACGGAAGACAAAACCTTCTAAACTCTAGAAATTGATATCGTTTACATTTAAAAAAATAAGTTCTTTAAACATATATAATCAATCGTTTAGGCTTATCCAGATTGAAATACCGGTTCTCGTACAATCATTGAAGTTAAACAACGTCGAGCCTGGTCAGTACCTAGATGGGTGACCGGTTGAAAATACCAGGTGCTGTAAGCTTGGATATGCAGATGGTGTAATGGATAATGGCTCGGAATTGTTAATCGGAGGGCCGAATTCCAATTCCCATTGGGTTCGTTAGATTCACTTACGCACAAATACACTTGAGAAAGGTATGAATCCATCTTGTCTCTCCCCCAGATATGGGTTAATTAGCAAACCATTATTATCTTCAAAAAAAAATTTTACAATCTAAAAAATATTTTCTGGCTTTAAATAACCTGCAAAAAGGTTGTTAAGCCATAAAAACAAATCAATCAATTTATGAAAATGGTTTTTTTCTTTCTGAATTTCTGGAACGAGGATATCATTATTTACACTATTTATATTCGGACTATTGGTCTCATCTTCATTGTTGTTATTACAACGTTTCGACCGTTGTGTTCTCCGGCTTTCCTCAGATGTATATCGATCTGGGTAACTTGCAGGAAATTCTGAACTGAACCGTTTATTTAATTTACGGGGTTAGACTGTTGTCATTCTAGTACTCTTGTCAGGAGATATCATCTCTAGTTCCTATTTTTATTGAACTCACAATCACTATGTCACTAAATTCGCAAACAAACGCTTTAATCTATAAGAAAACAGTGTAAATAATAATTCTTTTATTTGACAGGATTTTATGAAATTTACAATGAATAATTTTATTTTTGTATCCTGCAAGGTGGTCCGTAAGTCTTGTCGCCCCTACATAATATAATTTTCTTTTTCAGATGGCTGACACGAGATAAACTGAATCCAGTACATGTGCTTCGTATTACTGTAGTATTCTTCTATTGTCATTATTTTTTGGTGAGGGTGACCAGACTTTCGGACCACCCTGTTGAATAAGAATTCAGTTTTCTTTTTCTTCGTTTTCACTATAAAATGACAGTGTTCATACAGACCTTCTCGATATGTACCAGTATCAATGAAAGTGAATAAACTGAATCCAGTACACGTGCTTTGTATTACAGTATTACTTGTTTTTCTATTGTTCTCATTACTTTATGGTAGGGGTGACAAGACTTTCGGACCACCGTATACGACTGCGTTATAAAATTTAATTAAAAAATAGTTTATTGATACTTTTGAATTTTACTCATTGAACTTATTTTTTTTTATTTTCTTACCTATTTGAATTCATAAAATATTTAATTACACTCAGTGAGGTCTTTTTTTTTAAAATTATTCTGAGTTTAAAATTCATTAAAATAAAGGAAGTGCTCCAAGAAAAAAAAAAAGAGAAAATTGATAGTCATTGAATTGACACTATTTGCCTTCACTGAATGAATAAATTAATTCCCCCTTGAATTTATGTATAAAAACAAATCTGCAGTTGTATAAATGAGAGAAATAATCTAAAAAAAAAGAATAAATAAATGTTCAGGCTCGAAAATAGAATTAAACTTAACAATTTTCAATTCTTCAAAAATGTTTTTATTTAATAAATAAATCTCTTTTTCTGAACAACAAGGAGTTGAATTTTCAAATCGCACTGAAAAATTACAAGTAATTTTTTTTTAAAGATAAATATTCAACGAAGATTTTTTACTGTCAAATCTGATGAAAATAAGGCAGACGTGGACCTTCATACATTTAAAAAAAAGCAGTGTCAAAAGGACGGTTTTTCCATTGACACCGGTATTATTTTAACTACCTTCAATCCTCGGCAATGTTTATTGTTTAAAAAAACGATAATTAAAATTGTAATAAAACCTAAACATATAATGAAAGTGAATTTATACATATTTTTGTTCCTGAGAATTTACAACAAAAATATTAAACACTATTATTTATTAGATTGTTTATTTGCAATAATAATTTTATATTTACATTTTAAAAACTAATACAATCAAAATTAATGCAATGCGATATGTATCAATTTATAGAAAAATAAATATGAGAACAGTTTTTATTCATAAATACCAAGGCATTTGCGACACATTGTAAATGACGATGCACTCTACCAAACAGACTTACGGCCTACAGTAAATAATTCCTCACACAACATACAGTGTTATTTAAACCTAAAGATTCGGGTATTTATCTAATTTGTATTTATAAAGCGGGTATTTATGTAATCCCATGACAAAATAAACAAGCAAATTAATATCAATTGAAGATGAAGCAATGTCCTTTTTAAGAGTTAGGGTTGGGACTAGGGTTTTTAACGTATTTTATACTTTCAACAGATGGTAAATATACCATAGTAGAAAAGCAATAGTAGATATTATACTATAGTAGCACCCATAAATTTATAAGCATTTACTTTTATTAAAATATGTGAACCATCTAAAATATGCCAACCATTCCAATAAACAATATAACGAACGTTTCTCATGATACCGTTTTTATTTTAGCTATTTTTCAGCAATGTTTATATTGTTTTGAAAAGCGATGATTAGAATTGTAATGATATGATGAAAATGAATTTATAAATTTTTTGTTCTTGAAAATTTACAAGAAAAATATTAAACACTATTTATTAGATTGTTTATTTAAAAGAATGATTTTATATTTACAACATTCGAAAAACTTAATACAATTGTATTAAGACTAATGCAATGCAATATTTATCATTTACCAATTCATAAAGAAATATCAAAATATTTTTTATTCATAAATTTAGAAAACATGAACTAAATTATTAATATGTTTGAACCAGCTATGAGGATTTATTATTTACCATTTTATAACGTTCGAATTAATTTGGAATTAATGTTTTGCCAATCATTCGAATGATAGTGCTTATTATTTTTGTGGTCAATTCCCAAGAACAAAGAAAATGTATAAATTTACCCTAATCCTATGTTTAGGTTTTATTACAATTCTTAACATCGCTTTTTTAAACATTGTCGAAGAATGAAGGTAGTTAAAATAATAACGATGTCATAGGAAAAGCCAACCTTTGGACATTTTTTTTCTTTTTTTTCTTTTTTTTTTTCTTTTTTGTTTTTGCGGACACTAAGAAGATCCAAAGTTGCAGGAAATAATGTTTTATTATATTCTGCACGCACCAAATCTAATTTCCCCCCTACTGTTGACACAAGAAAAAACAAAATTTTTAACGTTCTAAAAAGAATCCAAAAATATAATTTAATAATCATAAAAATTCCTTTGGTCTTTCTATTTATTAATAACATAAAGATTTTGACGATAAAACTTTGTTTTTATTAAGTTAGACGCATTTTTTTCATCATGGTATGCTCCTTTTTTAGCGAATCAGAGGAGGTACTCGGGTAAATATATAAAAATTAAGAAATTTTCAATTTTTGCTACTGAGTAATGTGTTTAATCTCCACTGGTTGTAGCCTTGTGCCAAATCTAAGTTACGCTAGGTAAATAAGGATATATTTCGCTAACGGACTGGCGTCTTAAAAAAATGTAATCATAGTTCGTAAGAAGGAAATCTGCTTAAGCGAGATAAAACATGATTCGTGCTAAGTGGCTGAACGATTTTTTTCTAATTTTAACTATCGTTTTAGACATTAGATTTGAACTTATTTCAACTCGAACTTTTTCATTTAATTTCTTTTAGCTGAAATTAATTTTAAATCAAATTAGCGGATGTAATCTCCGATAAACTCTGAGTAGGGAGAAGATAAGTGAAGATTTAATTTTATTTATTACTATTAATTCTTTAATTCTCTATCTCTTAAAATCAAGCAATATAAGTACAAAGACTGCTTGCATTAAAAGAGCCATCCTTCAGAAATACGTGTTTGATCAATTATATATATATATATATATATATATATATATATATATTAGTTGCTCCAACGAAAGTAAAGTGTATATTTTAAAGAGAGAAGAGAAGCCACAAACATTTTTAGCTATAATGTGAATATTTTAAATATACATTTTACTTTTTTTTCTCCATATTTTTGCTACACGGGTTTCCGGTCTCTTGATCTTCATCAGGCAAATAGTGGATATGTCCACATATTATTAAAAGGTGTTTGCCATTCTCTCCTCTGTTTAATATATATATATATATATATATATATATATATATATATATATATATAGTAAAAAAAACTGACAAGGTACCTCTAGTTAAGTATTTAAATTATTTCCCTTGTGTTCTTATAACTATGAAAAACTGTCCCAATGTTCTCTATGTCCGAGCGCAGGGTGTCAAGGATGATTTTATTTTTACTTCTTAACTGGGTGTATGGATTGTTTTATGCATGTACCCCGAGTTATAAGAATATTTTAGTTTTCCAAAACATATACTTCCTTCGTATAATAGATGTATTGAATTTAAAAATACACATTTTATATATATATATATATATATATATATATATATATATATATATATAATTATTCTTCATTATTAGTAAAAAAAATTAAATTTTAGGCACGAAACAATTATCAGGTGCATATTTTTCAAAAGTTACACATCCAGTATATATATATATATATATATATATATATATATATATATATATATATATATATATATATACTGTGTGTGTGTGTGTGTGTGTGTGTGTGTGTGTGATTAATAGATATCTTTTATCCTTCATCATATCTTATTTCTATTAAGATATATTTAGTGGCTGCACGTTTTCATATTAACATCTTTGTCCATTTTTTTTTTTCTTTAATTAACAGTGATATTTTAACGGCTTGGATAATCGTCAATCTTATTTTAAAAAATGCACCTCTCGGGGGCTATCGAACCTGCGTTCTCTTAATCCAGGAAAATCGGCTTGAGCTAAAAAAAATGCTTTAACGGCTCAGCACCGAGACACTTCAGAGATATAACGTTTATATGAAATAATTTTGGAATAAAACAGATTATTTTATTAACTAATCAAAAATTAACATTAATGACAAATTAAATCATAGACCACTCTCAGCGAGTTCGAATTACATGTCGTGTTCGTTATTTGGGCCTAAATATGTAGATGGAAAAGATTGTGAATCCTCTTCTTCTCAACTCTATTGGTAAACAGCAGGACAGACTGGATTCTATAGCCTTAGATTGTAACCGGTCTTACCCAAGAA